AGCTGTGTCCGATAATCAGATACTGATTGTCATCGGCGAGACAGGCTCCGGCAAGACGACCCAAATTACRCAATACTTGGCAGAAAGCGGCTTCACGGCGCGTGGCAAAATTGGTTGCACACAGCCGCGTCGTGTGGCGGCCATGTCTGTGGCAAAACGTGTGGCAGAGGAGTTCGGTTGCCGGCTCGGGCAAGAAGTGGGCTACACTATACGTTTCGAGGATTGCACTAGTCCCGAAACGGTGATCAAATACATGACAGACGGTATGTTAYGCACTGAATTATGTCAAACATTTTCTRATACTCTTTCAACAGGTATGTTATTGCGCGAATGTCTGATGGAGGCTGATTTAAAATCCTATTCCGTTATCATGTTGGATGAAGCGCACGAACGTACAATACACACTGACGTACTCTTCGGTCTCTTAAAAGGTGCCGTACAGAAGCGACCCGAACTAAAACTGATCGTCACTTCCGCTACACTGGATGCTGTAAAATTCTCACAGTACTTCTTTGAAGCGCCCATTTTCACTATACCGGGTCGTACATTTCCCGTGGAAGTGTTGTACACAAAAGAACCAGAAACTGACTATTTGGACGCTTCACTGATAACGGTAATGCAAATACATTTGCGCGAACCACCAGGCGACATATTGCTTTTCCTAACGGGTCAGGAGGAGATTGACACCGCTTGCGAAATACTCTACGAACGCATGAAAAGTTTGGGACCCGATGTGCCCGAATTGATCATACTGCCCGTGTATTCAGCGTTACCATCCGAAATGCAAACGCGTATTTTCGACCCGGCACCAGCGGGCAGTCGCAAAGTCGTTATTGCTACGAATATTGCTGAAACCTCACTGACAATTGATGGCATCTTCTATGTAGTCGACCCGGGTTTTGTTAAACAAAAGGTATACAACTCGAAAACGGGCATGGACTCGCTGGTGGTAACACCGATTTCGCAAGCGGCAGCCAAACAGCGCGCCGGTCGTGCTGGACGCACAGGTCCCGGCAAATGTTATCGTYTATACACAGAGCGCGCATATCGCGACGAAATGTTGCCTACGCCCGTGCCGGAAATACAGCGCACWAATTTAGCCATGACCGTGTTGCAACTGAAGACAATGGGTATTAATGATCTGCTACATTTCGATTTCATGGACGCACCGCCAGTCGAATCGTTGGTTATGGCTTTAGAGAATTTACATTCATTATCCGCGCTGGACGATGAGGGTTTGCTGACACGTTTGGGCCGACGTATGGCCGAATTCCCGTTGGAACCAAATCTATCGAAAATGCTCATTATGTCGGTGGCATTGCAATGCTCCGATGAAGTGCTCACAATCGTTYCCATGTTGAGTGTACAGAATGTGTTCTATCGTCCGAAGGACAAGCAAGCCTTGGCCGATCAGAAGAAGGCGAAATTCAATCAACCCGAAGGCGATCATCTAACGCTACTTGCCGTCTACAACAGTTGGAAAAATAACAAATTCTCAAATGCTTGGTGTTACGAAAATTTCGTACAAATACGTACGCTCAAACGTTCGCAAGATGTGCGCAAACAATTACTCGGCATAATGGATCGTCATAAATTGGATGTTGTGTCGGCCGGTAAAAATTCTGTGCGCATACAAAAAGCCATCTGCTCGGGTTTCTTCCGTAATGCATCTAAAAAGGATCCACAAGAAGGTTATCGTACACTAGTGGATTCACAGGTTGTCTACATACATCCCTCAAGCGCGCTATTCAATCGCCAGCCAGAGTGGGTCGTTTACCACGAGCTCGTGCAAACGACCAAAGAATATATGCGCGAAGTAACAACCATCGATCCGAAATGGTTGGTGGAATTTGCGCCATCATTTTTCCGCTTCTCCGATCCAACCAAGTTGAGTAAATTCAAGAAGAACCAACGTCTCGAACCATTGTATAATAAATACGAAGAGCCCAATGCTTGGCGTATATCACGCGTACGGCGRAGACGTAACTAAGTTGCACACCATTTTAGCATTTAATGTAATACGTGTATGTACAATGTAAGTTAATATTTAATGAATATTTTTATTTGAATTATGAAATAAAAGTAAAATACAGTAAAAACTTATTGAAGTCGCAACAACATTGAATATTTATAGTATTAGTATCAATCAATAGCCCTTTCGTCCTCGGAACCGTTGTCTATTATCAAGCTATAAAAGAATCGTACATTAAAAAAAAATATACTTAAAGGCAAAAATGWTTAGCACTTACAATTGAACGTTTGCACTCGAAGAATAGGTTCCTCAGCACTTGACATTCCTCGGGCACATTGTTTGCTTTGAGACACTCACGCGGTGTGTGCTTACCCTAAGATTAAAAATTGTATAATTCATATTTTTCCGAGACTGAACCWATGGCACTCACAATACGACAGCAATCACTTTCTAGCAGACACATTTTCAGATCCGCTCTAACGCCAGCACAGGCAGTGGTATCCGCCAATTTTTCGTCTCCCTCGTAGCGCATCATTTTGCTGTGGGTTTTTGTGTGTAAACTTTGCAGGTATGAAATAAATATGAACAATTATTTAACACAAATAAGCAGTAGTTGTGATTAAACTTCCTTAAGCTACACAAATTTCGCAAATGCAACAAATTCATAACAAAACAGCTGATTCCGTTTTAGGAGTTACCATAATGATGGTGGATTTTTGAAGTGCTACAAAGCAATACAATATATGCTTGTATATAAATTTTATATTACATATATTTTATCTAAAGAAACAAATAAAAAAGATGTTTTAATACAAAATTAAAATCTACATTTATTTTTGCGTTTTTTTTTTCACGATAATTTTTCAACATCCTTTTTGTTTTAACAAATACCGACATTTCTGATTAAAATTTAGAGATTTTCTTTTACTTAATGGTAACGTTAAGCATCCTATCTTCGAACAGCTGKTTGTTTTATAAGGGGCAAGGAACTGATACCAAAACTGCCAAAACACCGGCATCACGGTAGAGGACCATGACCGGCATTTATTAAATAAAAATAGTATTTATTATCAACAATGGCACGTAGCAGGTTAGTGTAAAAACTGTAATTGAAAACTTTTAGTTAAGATTCTGTAATTGTAGTTTCCTGAAGCCACTCCGATTTTGGCCATTCCAAATTCAACGTTTCARCAGCAAGCAACATTGGGAAAAGCCCATAAGCGGCAGGGATACCGGTATACAAATATATAATTGTATAACTCGCGAAAAAGTTCCTTTGATACTGTCCAACGACACATATGCGACCTGGTATACATGTGGTCCGACCGTTTACGATTCTACACACATTGGTCATGTTAGTTGCTACGTTAAGTTAGACATCMTACAACGTATACTGCGCCAGCATTTTAATGTGAATCTAGTAACAGCTTTAAACATTACGGATATTGATGACAAAATAATACATAGAAGCAAGGAAAGTGGTAGAGATTGGCGTGAGTTGTCACGGTTCTACGAAAGCGAGTTTTGGTCAGATCTGACACAACTTAACATACAAGAGCCAAATATAAAGCTTCGTGTAACTGAGCATATACCACGAATAGTCGAATTCATAAAACTTATCATAGAAAAGGGTAGYGCTTACAAAGGTAGTGATGGTAGCATTTATTTTTCGGTGAACAAATGTGAAAATTATGGCAAATTACAAAAAGTGAACATGCAGGTAGAGSCAGAAGAGTCCACAAATGGTAAAAAGGCGTCAGCTGATTTTGCACTGTGGAAAGCGCAAAAAACWGAATGTGAGCCAGCATGGCCGTCACCTTGGGGCGCTGGACGACCTGGTTGGCATATCGAATGCAGCACACTGGCTAGCATGGTTTTTGGTCAACGCTTGGACTTCCATGCTGGCGGTTTGGATTTACGATTTCCACATCACGAAAACGAGGAAGCACAAAGTTGCGCCTACCACAGCACACATCAATGGGTGAATTATTGGCTTCACACCGGTCAGTTGCATATTAAAGGCCAGCCATTAAAAATGTCAAAATCTCTGAAGAATACCATTTCCGTCGGTGCGATGTTGGAACGTTATACAGCCGACGAGTTTCGCATGGCTTGTGCTTTGTCCAACTATCGTAACGCTGTAGACTATAGCGATGCAATAATGCAAACGTCAAGGAATACACTGAAACGTTTTAGAACGTTTAAAGCTGATTGTAATGCGTATTTATGTGGTAAAAAGCGCGCTGCACATGTGGATGCAGGTGAGGTGYTTAGTGACTTACAGCGTGCACAACATGATATAGATGCTTGCTATAAGGATGATTTCGATACAGCAAGCAGTATTGGTGTACTGCTGGAACAATCAAATGCAGTGAGTCGGCAAATTAATGCGGGGGTTAACGAATTTGAAAATAATTTAACCACAAGCAGTTGTGTGGATGCTATAGCAGCTGTTGATAATTTTATACAACAACACCTACATATTTTAGGATTCAGTTCTGTAGAAACTTCAAAAACGCAGATGTTAGGTGCGAATAACGAATTCAATTTGGACGCTTTTGTAGAAGATTTGCTGCAATCAAGGCATTTAATACGTGWACGTGCGGTGGCGGGGAAGAACAAAGAATTATTTGGAATTTGTGACGAGTTGCGTAATTGTTTGAATCAACATGGAATTACTATACAAGATCATAGTCAGGGCACTTCATGGCAATTTAGCRACAGTAAGAAATAAAGTTRTTTACTTAAAAAAATKTATGTATATATGTATATGYATTTGTTAGTGGCGTTTTAGTGGTTTTAAAAATGGGTTTGAAAATAATACATAATGGGTTCTCTGGTATATGTAAGTAATCCAGAGGAAACGGATTTAAAATAATTGCATTTGAAACACATAATATTGCATTATTTCTTTCTCAGCTGTTTGCTATATAAACTACGCTCACAGATGGCGCTCTTAAAACAATTTGACAATCCATTATTTCAGCAGCGAACTCTGAATTCGCCTTTGTTTATTTACTTAAAATTGTATTGTAAGTACGGATTGACAACATCTGATCGGTTATTTTTATCTKCAGAAAATGAAATAAAAAGTCAAGGAATCATCACAAGTTTGTTTCAAAAAGAAAATTATCGTATGAAGAATGGGTGTGKGTGTGGAAGTACAAAATGATGGTAATACCGGACAACTTACAAGAGATAAGAATAACAGCGTCAATGTAYACAACAATGCCGATGGAGCACCCATGCCGAAGCATATACCATTTCCAGATTTCCCTGGCAGTTCGGAGCTCATTAATGAGCTTATAATGTTCCTGTTTATTACGTTTGCAGCGGCCATGCAATTTATAAACCTTTATCGCACAATGTGGTGGGTACCGGACTCTAATACAACACGTACAGTTGTGAGTACATAATATCGCTTAAATGATCRGTACTATGTAATAATATAATTTTGTTATTATTACAGAACGTATACCTCATAGAACCCTACTTGGTAGCGTTCATAGTGCTACTAATGTCTAGACGTTTTGTATACTGCCTGTTAATACGCGGACAAGAATTGTTACAGAACTTAAGTAGTGAACACCGTCGCATCTATAAAAGTATCGTTAAGTACAGCTTTAGCAGCTGTCTTTTAACACTACTCGGATTTTGTGTGTATAAAATCTATATAAAACAATTTTTTATGCCTGTCTTCTTGCTAGTCTATCCGTAAGCATTTGTATTTGTTTATTATATTTGGAATTTTTGTATTTGTTATTGTTTATTATATTTGGAATTTTATTTCGTGCACACAGTCTCGTCATCTACCTACTCATCTTCGGTTTTCAAATTGAGTCCTTTCTACGCAGTTCATACGAAGTGGAGGGCACCTATTTTAAYGGTATGCCCATGCATTGCTGCTCCACCAGCCCTGATACCATACGCGAAGAAATCGTTGTGCTGAAAAATGACTTCAATATACGCTTCAAACAAATTGTGTTTACATCCTTATTAAATGCCTACTACGCCGGTGTTGTGCCATGTCTATTTGCTGTCTCCATGTATTACAATGTATTGTGGGCGTATCAAAATGCTTTATACATTTGGCTCAGTTGCCTCACGATGGCATGCGCTTTCGGGTTTCCAGCAAAATATAGCGATATTTTACATCGCGCATCACTACATTTAGGTTATTGGTCGCGTATGGAGTTGCGTGCAATTGGTGGTAAWTCCAGTTCCAGTAGTGGCAGTAGCACATCATCCAGTGGCACGACCACTGTATGGAAAGCAAACACCGTATGGACTCAGGATAGTGTTGTGAAATGCAACGGCGAGTTATTTAGTGCTAATGGTCCCGTAACGGTTGCGCTACCGGGAAATTCTAGTCATTCTAGATTTTATGTGAGTGCGGAGTTTATATGTAGCAATTACTTGTTATTTTTATTTAATATTTCAATTTCATTAATGGTTTTATCACTCCCTTTTAGAAATTATTTCGCAATCCAGCCATCATATACATGATATTGACCGGTGTACAGGCCGCCGTAGTCTTGGCCGGCATATTAGTGCTATATTATGCTATCGAGTGGCACTTTATGCTGTCGATTAGTTTTGCAACGCTTACAAATCAATTCACATTTTTCAAAATAATGCGTGATTATTTGGTGACGAAACGCATATACACGTCGGAAACCGCAATCGCTGAGCAAACAAAATCGAACGCGCTGCACAGCAATTGAACGCAGTATGGCAGGACGAACAGAATTGCATTTATGCACAAATTATAAAAGGTTATAAATATAAATATTGACTGTGAGCTCATGAACATTTTATAAAATATAATTTTGAAGTAATTTAAGTTTTGTTTTTGTTTTAAGAAAACGCACTAACACACATACACACATGAACAACTGATTTCTTTACACGTACATATTTATTTGCTGCAAAGCGAATTGTGAACTACAAACACACATACATACATTCTAAGTTGAAATTAAAATTTAAGCCATTTATGTAAGACTTTTGCTAAACAATAATTGCGTAAATTGTCGCTTTTGATAAAGAAATAAAATTTTCACGAAAAAAGTTAACCTAACCAAACAAATTATCATAAGCCTTTTGTAAATTTGTTCGCTGCTTTGCTTGCAGTTCAAACTTTCGGCGTTGATTCGCATACTCTTCGTGCATAGTTTGCTCCAGTGGACCCCAAGTATTTGCAGATGCAGCGGCGGCCTTTAATTTCTAAAATAATTTGAAAAAATGTTACAACAATAATATTTTAGTATGTATACGAGGATCAGTTTGTGTTGGACTCACGTTAAGCAAACCAGCTGATTTCGACTGCTTGCAGATGCTGTATAGAGCCCAACCCGGTATTTGCAGAAGACCAATGGCGGACAAGCACCAGCCGAAGACTGCAATGAAAATTTACAAAAACAAGAAAAAAATGTTAACTTCGRAGGCATTGAACCTACATATGTAGATTCGTCAATCAAAGTAAGAACTTAATTTTATAGGCTAGTTTGTATGACAGCTATATGATGCAGTGGTCCGTTCTAAACAATTTGCTCAGAGAATGTAACGTTACCTTTGGCAATAATTTGTGCCAAATTTCGTTGAGATAGCTTGTCAAATAAAAAAGTTTTGCGTACAAGAACTTAATTTTTAAAGGTTAGTTTGTGTGGAACCTATATGCTATGGTAGTCCGATCTGACCAATTTGTACGGATATTGTAGGGATGCTTTTGATAATAATGTATGCTAAGTATCGTGCAGATATCTTGTCAAATAAAAAAGTTTTCCATACAAAAATTAAATTTTGAAGTGTGATTTTATATGGTAGCTATATGCTATTATGGTCCGATTTTAATAATTTTACGGAGATTATAACGGTACCTTGAACAAAAATCTATGCCAAATTTCGTGCAGATATCTTCTCAAATAAAAAAGTTTTCCTTACTAAAACTAAATTTTGAAGATTAGTTTATATGGGAGCTATACGCTATAGTAGTCCGATCGGAACAATTTATACGAATATTGTAGCGCAGCCTTTGAAAATAATTTGTGCCAAATTTCGTTGCTATATCTTGTCGAATAAAAATGTTTTTCATACAAAAACTAAATTTTGAAGGTGAGTTTATATGGGAGCTATATGCTATAGTTGTCCGATCTAAACAATTTGTTCAAATATCGCAGGARTGCTTTTGATAATAGTGTGCGCCAAATTTCGTGCAGATATATTGTCAAATAAAAAAGTTTGCCATACAAAAACCTCATTTTGATCGGTCCGTTTGTATGGCAGCTGTATGTTATAGTAGTCCGATCTGACCGTTATTCGGAGATTGTACGGTTTTCTTGGAAAAATATCTATKGCAAATTTCGTGCAGATATCTTGTCAAATAAAAAAGCTTTCCAAACGAGATTTAAATTTTGATAGGTCAGTTTATATGGGAGCTATATGCTATAGTAGTCCGATCTGAACAATTTATTCGGAGATTGTAAAGGTRCCYTTRGCCATAKTGTRTGCCAAATTTCGTTAAGATATTTTKYCAAATAAAAAAGTTTCCCATACAAGAACTTATTTTTGAACGATCAGTTACACGGAAGCTATATGATGTAGTGGTTCGACCTGAACTATTTATTCAGATATTGTAGCGTTGCTTTTATATGCTACTAAAACTCATATTTTACACTCACCGTGCGCAATGTGTGGATAGTCCACATTCTTATATGTCAACGGCTTCAAATCGATGAGCGTATAAATGAGCACAGCYAGCATTAGGCCCGGTGTTATGACACCCCAGCAGATGCGCCAATAAATGCCGGTTTTCAAGCCGATCATGAATTCAATGTCGGCGCAGAAACGCTTCACGCCTGCAAAATCAAAAAATTAAAGCAAATTGTTTTGGAATTACATTCCACAATCACAGCTTATTTACCATACACCCAACCGACGGCCAATAGTTCGCCGATCGCCAAAATGAGCGCCGTAAATGAAACGCCATAGAAATCCACCAAATTCAACACRAACTGCCCACCCGGTGTCATATAGAYTATGCTCACGGWGAAACCCAACACAGCCAGGCTTAGCGCCAGCGCCCAATTCGGCGCACGCACCCAACGATCACGTATCACGCGTACAATGCAAGAGCCCATGCCGACCGTGCTGCCGATACCTAAGACGAATAGCATGAGGAAGAAAAGAACCGCGAATGCCTATTAGGTAGTTTTGTTTTAGGGCGCCATTTGGGCGCTGCAGCACATCGATACGTACCTGTGGAATGAATTCGAATTTCGCTATGGCATCGGGGTARGAGATGAAGGCCAAGCCAGCGCCACCCTTAACCACGCTAGCCACATCGGCAGCGCCGGTTTTGAATGCCAAATTGCCGAGTATGCCAAATGTGATGCAACCAGCGATGATGGAGGAGCAAGAATCCATTGTGGTGATGATCACAATATCTCTGCGTACGGATATATGTGTGTGTTAATATTAATGTCAACTGCCAGGTTAGTGCCATAAGKGCATGGACTATACTTACTTGTAGACATTTCGTGAGAAGTTGTTGTACGAMGCGTAGGTGATCAAAGTGCCGAAGCAGATGGCCAATGAGAAGAAGACTTGTGTGACTGCCGCATACCAGACCTACGGAAGTAAATAYATTTAGAAAGTTAGTCGCAGAAAATGAAATAAGGTTTGGACAGACGAATTAATTTACTTCGGATTAGCCGCAAGTATCRTGGACCCAGAGTCTAAGACTATACAAGTGGGAACATCAACTAATAATGTGATAAGTTTAGGGGCAGTAAGCTTCTTGACGGATAGTCTTCCAGACTATTATGGTGCTTATCAAGCCGAGGCTGCTACCACTGAGGCAACGGTAGAATTACTTTTCCGGCGTGAACCCTTCTGTAGAGAAGTGATCATCCACACCGATAGCAAGATGGCGATATTAGCTCACTGACAGTGGGTTCAAGGCTGGTTAAAGAATGCCTAAATTGGTTCTCAATGACAGGGAATAGCTTTATGATATGACTAGTGTCGGTTTAAGGCCACAGCAGAATCGCAAGTAACTGTAAAACGGAGCGGTTGGAAAGAAAAGTACTTCAGTCGCGCCATCAATGAAATGGGAAGAACGGATCGATGCTCCACTCTCTTCAAGAGTTCTACTACTGGAACGCTAGGCTTCGCAAGAGCTTAGCTAGCTCTGGGATACTATTAGTTCATATGCTGTCGCAAGGTACTTTTAGCCCAAGATAGATTGTAAGAGATGCATTGAGCTCTTTGCAATTAGAAAGGCTAGACACGCCCGAGTTGTGAAGGTTCTAACAGGTCATTGCCATATCGGCGCCCATGCCGGATGCCAGCTATAGAGGATSTATGGAAGAAGCCGAGATACAAACAACTCAATATTTCCTTCTTGATCTTCCATATTCCAAACATATCTGTTCCGCGTTTGAGATCACGACTTAAATGATTGAAAGCTTACACTTTCAGAGTTCGGTGGGGCTGGTGGGTATAGCAATTCAAAGCCTAAGCAAATCTGTATAGGCTCCAAGGCGCTTTGCCGACGTACAAGATCGGATACATGAATTCTATCGGTTATAGTAATTCAACGCCAAATCCTCTAGGCTCCTTGCCGATCGGATGCATGAGTTCTATTTCTATGGCTTCGCAAAAGACTGCAGCTAGTAGTACAAATGCGCGTTCTGAATACACCATCGAACCTAATCTAACCGTTATTCTATGACGAATTTTTCAATTAAATCATCATCAGTATCTCCATGGCGTATACGCAACAAAATTAAACTAATCTGAAAAATGTAAAGAAATGCTAGTTACCAGAGGATTTAGCAGCTCCGCCCATTGTGGTTTGAAAAAATAAATGATGCCATCCATGGCGCCGGGTAGTGTAACAGCACGTAACAGCAGTACCAACAAGACCACATATGGGAAAACACCCAAAAAGTAGGCAGCTTTTCCGGAACTTTTGACGCCTTTAAAAGAAGAAAGTYRRYATTARGAAGAAGAAYACTCATATACATTCTAAACTGGTTYTAGGTTAAATATGCAACGCTTATTGGATAACKTGTTGTCCTTTTTGCAGGTAATTGAATGACGTCCTCGTCCCTAAAGTACAAAACTGGGAAWGTTGGTTCTTATAAGCTCTTTTTGAGATGAACAGCGAAATCRTTCGCCATAGACAGCAACAGGTGAGRTTCACTTGGTGCCAGGTGCAAATATAAGGTGGTTGACCCATCCAATCTAACTTTAGCAGCTTTTGGCGTCGAGCTGATGTAACACAATTCCTCTCCTATATTACAGGCTGAAGCTGACTGCTACTGAACGATTCCTTCTTTCACATCGTCGCATTGTTGACAGCTCAATCGCGAAGTAAGAGTTGGCCGTAGAGGAGCAGCACATAGCCGATGTTTCCCTGCCAGTCCAAGTATCTTGCTGACAGTCAATTTTGATCTTGACACTATGACTACAGAGAGACTACGAGAGTTTTTGTCTTGATGTGGTCGTTGCAGAATTATATTTACACCACGTCAGGTACAGAGTACATGCCTTCCACTAACACAATGGAGTTTTTTGCTCTTTACATACCTCTTATCAACACACCACCAATAATAAACCATGCCACTGCCAAGCAGCCCACCAGCTCCCAATTGGGCGTGCCAAGTCCATGGAAAATGTCATCTTGTTCGTGTAAAATTTCCTTCCTGAAAGAATTTGACAAATTTTAATTTTATTAAAGAATTAAAAAAATTTCTGAGTATGTATTTTAGACTTACTGAAAGTACAATTCAGCTGAGGACATTTTCGAGACGGTCTGTTGAGTACCGTTAACCGCAGCCGACGCCGTTTCGTTGAGACAGCTGTCGCCCCACTCCTCGCGACAGTAACTCCAAGGCAGCACTTTGGAGAAGGAGGCAATTAGAAAGCGTAAAGTCARTGCCATTATGCTGGAGTAGTAAGTGATCGAGGCGCCAGTTGCCAGAACTTGGCCAGCAGCGACACCTTAAGGAGATAATATGACATAATTAGTAATTGTTGTTATGTTTAGGGTCAAGATAACAAGGATTATTTGAAGACAGCTGTTTGATACTGATAAGTGGTGATAAATTTTGAACAAAGCAGAATTCTCTACATATTTATAATATTAATGTTACTTCGAAAATGTTAATGAATTTTAATTAAAAGCTCCCCATGAATCCGTCACTGCGTCGGCTTCATCGAGGCGCGACAGTCGCCTAAGCACTGGCCAG